AATTTTAATTTCTTACCATGTTTAATCCTAGCTAGATTTTAATCCATGGTGTCATACTATATGTCCCGCCATGTCGGGTAAAATCAAAATTTTGAAAGAAAAAATCCTCCTATACTAATAAGGTTACTAGAAGTTTAGTTCATGTAGTTGTCATCCATTTTCAAAAAAACATACCAAAATGATTAAAATGTGTTAAGTTTGTGATTTTATGATACAATAAGCCTATAAATTTTAATTGTATTCTAACATAATCATAATAAGAACCATATGTTTAAATAAATTTTAAAATCATAGTGCATATGTAGGAATAAAATTTTATAGAATTAAAATTACAATAGAATTGAAGCTTTTTTTTTCACTCGAATTATAATTAAACCAATCTTTTATATCTCTTAGCTTTTATTTAAACCTTCATAAATTATTATCGATCGCCTATCTCCATTAGAAAATTCAAAATTTAGAGGCTTATAGTCATCAATCATATTGTTTGCTAGATGGGTTAGTGATTACACTATATTTCATTGCTTTTCTCATCATATAAATAATATCATATTCAATCAAATGTACTTGTCATTTTACAATCCGACTAGACATATGGTTTTAAAAGATGTACTTGATGGGATTTATTTTTTAGATCAACCATAAGGTATACTAAAACATGTATTGTCTAGGTCACTACACACTCCACACCAAACTACAACATATTTTTTCCAATATATTATAGTGGGACTTACAAAACATGAATTTATTACTCAAATAGTAGATTACTTGTTCTTTTCTTCTAGAATCATCATGTTCACATAACACGTAAGCCATGACAACTTCGTGATTGTCAAATATAAGATTAAAGGTCTACTCGGTACTAGTGGAAGTAATAAAGGTGGAGTTTACAATTGCTTGCTTGATTTTTTTAAAACCTTTCTAATAAATTTCATCCCATATTCCTAGATTCTTCTTTTACGGTAGGCAAACAATAGGTTCACAAGTGACAATTAATTGAGAAATGAATTAGGCTATGTAATTTGGGTGCTATAGAAAGCTTATGACTTCTTTCTCGATGTTGGATGGTGACATTATTTGAGTGAATTTGACACTCGTTAGGATCTACCTTAATTTTATTATTGCTCACAACAAAACCTAGCAATTTTTCAAACTCGACTTCACTAGTACACTTTGCGTAGTTCAACTTCTACGGATACTTTCATAACCTTCCGAATAACTTCGTAATATATGGATATGGTCTTCCTCTTGTTTGAACTTGGCAATCCTATCATCCATATATATCTTATTTTTTTGTGTCCATCATATCGGGAAATAATGTGACCATTACCCATTGGTAGATTACTCCTGCATTTTTTTAACCTAAAAGACAAAACTTTGTAGTAGTATGTCTCCATGACATGATAAAAGTAGTCTTTCCCTTGTCTTTTTTAGTTACTTTGATCTAATTATATCTTGAATGCCCATCAATAAAGGACTAGGTAGAATGTTTTGCATCATTATTAATTAGATATCAATGTGAGACAACAAAAAATCATCTTTTGGATTGATTTTGTTCAAATCCTAAAATCAATGCACATTTGGATTCTCCCATCCTTTTTGTCTACTACTACAATATTGGACACATAGGCTAGGTTTTTTATTACCTCTTGGAGTCCAATCTCAAATTTTTTCCTCACTTGTTCTTTAATCTTAATTAACATATCCGACCTCATTCTTTTTAGCTTCTATTTCATTGGCTTACTCTTTAGCATCAGCGAAAGCTAGTTAATAACAATATTTGTGTCCAAACCTAGCATTTTAATAAGACCAAGCAATACATCGACATAATCCCACAACAAAACAATCAACTCCCTTTTACTTATACTAAAATCAAGTTTCCACCCTTTAATTCTCTTTTATTTTATTCTATGCTCACATTTACCAATTTTGGCTCTTCTTAATTTGGTTTTAAGGCACACTAACAATTCAACTTAACTAGCAAACTCCTTTACAAGATATTTAGTACAAATGATATTAATTTGTCGATATACTCCATAAATCAAGAAAGCATATGTAAGTTTGGAATTCTAGGAGTTAATGAAAAAAAATCTATTATACTCCAAGTTTAGATAAGAACCATAACTATATATGGAGAGAGAGTGAAAAACTTTATACTAGTAAAAGGTAAGATTTATGAAAAAATAATTTATAAAAAATTTATTCATGTATGTATTTTAATTTATATTCATGCTACATATAATTAAAAATATTTTTTAAAAATAAAAAAGTTCCATAAAATAATATAATGCTAAGTGAAAATTTTATAGCAACGATTATTTTTAAATGTTACTTATATTTATCTTAACTATTAATTATTAATTAATTTTGAAAGATAATTCAATTTATGATACTAATTTTTACTTAAGTCCAGCTAAAAATATTTTACATGATTCAAAAATTGAACAAATTTATGTAATTATAGTTATCAAAATTTATATAAAATTATTTAAAAGTAAAACATGTTTAAATTTCATCATTTATAAATATATAATTCTAAGACATATATTAAAAATTAAAAGAAAAAATTATAAATTAATTAAAGCTTGTCAACATCAGCCTATGAGGGGATGATGAGATTGCGAACGAACAAGGAGTCACCACCTAGGTAATAAGGAGAGAACTAGGAAACCCTAAATGTATTGGTCTACATAAATATCTAGGTAAGGGGTTGATTATATATGAAAAAATATAACATCACTCGTCATCCCGTCCTATCTATGGTAGGTTGCATTGTTTGCATGTGAAAATAAAAATCTATTTTTTATTATTTTATGCTTTTATGCCTATTTAAATGAGTTCATTTTGTTAAGATGTGAAAATAGACTAATTTGGGAATTTGGGTGTAAAACATAGTAGTTTGAGAGTTCAAACTAGTCTAAGGTCAATACCTCTACTCAAAGGGAAAAGTTAGGGAAAGTTAGAATTTTAATTAGTCTTTAATGAATATGACCTATTACCGATAAGTAGGTGAGTTTCTAAAGGTTGGTATCCTTTTATTGGTATAAACAATGAGTCATCAATGACTTCACTCACACAAATGGGAAGCCATCGATAACTTTAAGTCATGAATTTGGGAAGCAACCAAAAACCTCACCACACAAGTGGAAAGTCATCGACCACTTTATTTAGCTCAAATAGGGAGTAGAAGTAGGAAGCCACCTGGTCGCTTTATCACATAAGTGAAAAGCCACTAGCAGTTTCATTTCAAATAAGTAGACAAGAAGCTAAAATCATTTCGAAACCACTAGCGGCTTCATCACATAAGTGGGAAGCCACCGATAGTTTCTTTTTAGATAAGCGATTAATGAAAACTTCATCACATAAGTGAAAAGTTATCAGCCACTTTATTTGGCTCAAATAGGGAGCAAAAGTAGGAAGCCACTAGTTGCTTCATCACACAAGTGGAAAGCCACCTGGCGGCTTCATTTCAAATAAGTAGACAAGAAGCTAAAATCATTAAGAAACCACTAGCGGCTTCATCATATGAGTGTGAAGCCATTGATAGCTTCTTTTTAGATAAGTAGTTAATGAAATAAAATCATTTCAAAACCATTGACAACTTTGTCACATTAGGAAGCCACTAGTAGTTTTGTTTCGGACAAGCGGACAACAAATAAAATAATTTCAAAACCACTAGTAGCTTTATCACATAAGTAAAAAGCCACTAGTGGCTTCGTTTCGAACAAGTAGACAACAAAATAAAACCATTTCGAAAACACTAGCGGCTTTATCACATAAGTGGTAAGCCACGGATAGTTTCATTTCGGACAAACAAATAATAAATAAAATAATTTTGAAATCACCGATAGCTTCATCAAATAAATAGGAAGCCACTAGTGGTTTTGGTTTAGATAAATAGATAACAAATAGGTAAAATAATTCATATTAGAATTATAAGTACTTAAACGGGGTAATTGATTTGTTATTGCAATTACCATAATGTTCACTCGAAATAACATTTAAACCATGAATATAATAATGAAATTCCATAATTTCATTCACATTTTGGAGTACAATCGTTGTAATAGTTTCACCCAAAACGTTTTGTAGTTCAAGTGTCCAATTTGGACATCAACTCTACTCTTAGTCCCTAATGATAACCTATTATTTCGTTAGCTAGGGAAGGAAAGCGGATGCTTGTTGCCAAAGTTACGTATGAGTTCTATTAAAATTATTAAAAGTCCCTCTAAAGTCGATGTAAATAGTTAAGGTTATTGCTATTACTAAAGTTGCTATAAATTTTATAGTAACTCTATAAATTTTTAAAGTTGCTTGCAACTTGAGAAGGGTTTGCAACAAAGTTGGAGCTATATTTTTCATATCAAAAACCAATAAAAATACAATCTACAACATTATGTTATTCTTGCCAAACACAATCGATCAATAATTTTTTGTATATATATATATATATTTGGTTATATCCTAAACTAGTTCAAACTATCGTTCACAACTAAAAAGACTCCCATTTTGCTTCTTTTTTTTTTTACTTCGATTATACTCGAAATTGAAACTACAATGGTACGTATTTTTTGGTAAAAAGATGGAGAGGGATTGATGTAAAGAGGGTTGTTTTGGATGAGTAAGAGGTTGGCAAAAAGGGTTGTTTTAGGTGAGGGAGAGGTTGGCAAAGGGAGCTATTTTGTTTTGGGTGAGGCTAAAGTTGTGGCATGTGAGGGAGAGTTTGAGTAGAGTCTGGTTGTTTTGGGTTAGGCTAGAGTTATAGTGTATAAGAGACGGTTTGTGAGGGATTGATTGTTTTAGGTTAGGTTGCTAGCTAGGCTGGTGAGGGGCTAGAATTAAGAGGGCTATTGGTCGGTCGATAAAGAGCTGCGACTTTAGTAGATGAGGTGGGGGCCCAATGTTATGGGCTATGGGAGGTGAAGGGCTACTACGATGGCACGCAAGGTAGAAGCTAGCATTGTGCTGCTTGTAGCATGATGTGGTGAATGGCTATTACTATGGCGCGTGAGGCTAGGGATAGAGTTATGGGGCTGGGCATAGTTAGTTGCTTGCTATTGTGGCACACAAGGCAAGGGCTAGCGATGGTAGTGTTGGCCTATGGTACTAGGCATAAGTGTGTGAGAGAGCCTAGCACTAGGCATGGTCGGCCTATTGCGCTGTACTTGGGCATTGTAAGGGATGCTTGCTACGATGGGCTATTACGAGGAGTTGTTATGGGGGCTTTATAGGCATGGCTACTAGGCTATTATGAAGGGTTGTTACGAACAGTTGTAGGCGAGAGCTTGTTGCTAGGCTAGACGTGTAAAGGCATGGCTATGGGAGAAAGGTTGTTGTAGGCGAGTGGAAGGTTGGTTGAGAGCGAGGGGTTGTTGTGGGTGAGGAACTATTGCTTAGGTGAGGGGCTATAAGCAAGGGAGGCATGCACGAGGGTTTGTTGCTAGGTTGGGTATAGGGAGGCTTGGTTATGGGCGAAAGGCTATCATAGGTAAGGGAGAGGGAGCTTACGAAATGGAGAGTTTTCTTCTTATTGCGATCAGTTGGGTGCTTAAAGATGATGAATGAATAGTGTAACATACCAAAAAAATGAAAAGGGCATTTATAGGTATTTTATAAGTTTTTTGCCAAAATTCTAATTTGGTCCTCGATTCTCAATAATACCTCAATTTAAGTCCAATTTTGGTTATTTATTTTGATGAGCCCCATTTATTTTGATGAGCCCCCTTAAATCTTAATTAATTGTGAATGTTTTTAATTTATTCTAATTATGTCCCTCCTTTAATTTAATTAAGGGACTGAAGTTTTGAATTTTTTAATTCTACCTCTAATTATTCTTTTTTATCTAATTTCTAAACTTTTTTTTAATTAGCATGCTCTTAGAACTAATCTAAGTTAATTATTCTAATTGATTTTTTTCTTTTTCTTTTTTCTTTTTACTTTTTTTCTTTCATACGTGGCATTTTTGTTTTATTTATCATTTTTTTTGTATTTTTGTAATAAAAATAAAAATAATAGAGGCAAAAATTAGGTATTAACAATTATCCCCTCTTTACAATGCTTAAAACGTAAGTCATTAAAAAATATTTTTCTTTGGTTTTGCATAGTAACCTTGTAAAGAAGTATTAAAAAAAATTATGAGGACATGATTGACCATGTTGATTTTTTTGGAAGGATGTGATTGACCATGTTGATTTTTTTTGGAAGGACATGACTAACCATGTTGATTTTCTTTTTGGAAGCACATGACTGACTAAGTTGATTTTTAGGACATGATTGACCATATTTATTTAAAGGGTCATGATTGACCATGTTTATTTGAAAGAACATGAGTAACCATGTCAATTCGGGAGGAGACATAACTAACCACATTTATTTAAGAGGACGTGACTAACCATGTTAATTTGACATGACATGACATGACTAATAGTGTTAATTTAAAAAGACATGACTAACCATGTTGACTTGAAGGGCATGATTGACTATGCCGACTTGAAGAGATATGATTGAGCAAGTCAATTTAAAAGGACATAAGTGTTCTAATTTGCTATGAGAATAAAATGGGAGTTTGTGTTTATGGAGATTTATATGCAGTCAAAAGTAAATAAAAAAATAATGAGGAAAATCTTGGTTGAAGTTTATTATCCATTTTTTATTTAATTACTAATCATTGATTCAAACATTAACCTATTCTTAATATGAATATTCACCGAACGACAATAACATATATGTTATCCCCAATCTTTCCTTACTGATTTGTTAATCAAACAAATGCTATTTGATTAATCTCTAAGCTGTTAAACAACCTAATAGACACTAACTAGATTTAATTCTATAACGAGCATTAAATAGAGAAAGATAGGTGAATCTAAACAACCTTTTTTAGGCACTAAAAAAGATGTAATCTAGTTTAATATTTTCCAAGAGATTAAACAAAAATGCATTTATAATCATTAAACCCTAGTTACTATCACATGTATGTTTAGATAAGTAATTACATGGATTTGAATACTTAGCTAGTAATAGATTACAATAATCAAGAAACTAGCATACGTTTTAATCAATTAATCACACCATCATAACTAAATAACACAAAAAAAAACATAAAATACTAAAAAAGAATTAAGTTTAGAATTAGAACTCATGAAGATCTCATAATGATTTTAACAAAAGCATCAACTTTCCTTTAACAAAGATAGATGTTTAGTGACTATAGCTAATTATAAGAGAACTTTCTATCTAGGGGTGGATACTAAAAGTGGAAATCCTAAAATAAAACCCTAGACTCACTATTTATAGCTAAAAATATGGTTACAACACACACATGTCGGTCCCACATAGCAACATGAATTGTTTGGTGAAAGCACATGGTTTGTTACTTTATCTCATATGATTTGGCGCCTTGGAGAGCTAGTGTTACATGGTTTATTAGATAGAGGCACATGATCATGTGCATTTTTTACGCTATCTCATGTCTCTTTTTGGCTTCTAACCGTGTGGAATTTACACTTCATCATGTGTCACTTCCTTCTACCCATATGCCTTTGTTGCTTCATCCTTTGAATTTCTTCTAGCTTTGACACACACAAACATGTCTCTTATTTAGTGCATGCCATGTGGAACGCTACTGGCCATGTGCTATTTCTTTCCTCTTAGAAGATATCTCAGTCTTGACACGCATATGGTCGTATAACTTTTCTTGCTCTAGTTGTGTGGGAAGATAATTTAGGTGTGGTTTTGTTGTTGAACAACCTCATAGTTTCCTCCTTTGTTTCACATGGCCATTGGCTATTTCTTCTTGTAATTCATACGATCATGTGTCTCTTTAGGCTTCCTTAGTGACTTTGCCTTTTCGTTTCTTCGACTTGGGTTTATTTGCTTCAATTTGTCATTTTTTCTACAAAACCCAAAATTATTATCTTGATCTTAATTTCATAAATATAATACAATAATTACTAAAAATTTTAATGTAAAAGAGCATCAAAGTTATACATATTATGCACTCATCACTTATTCATCGAGATTACTTTAGGCATACCACCTTAACTTTGTCATCTAGCCAATTGATCTTATATTCTAACCTCAAATCTCCTTTCATGTTCACTCTTGTCATCTTTTTGTTTTAGGGATTTCTAATCCTAGAGTTTCTAACCCTTTCTAACTTCAAATCATGAGAGAGATCACTTCATATATCACTCTCTTTTGTCTTAGCGCTCTCACTTTTGTTTTCCATTTTCTTTTTTCTTTTTCAATTTCGTTCAAGGGTTTTCTTAACAAGTTTTATTTTATGAATAATTATCATTATTTCTCATCTTTTTTTCTTAGAGAACATCCTTGATTATTAATGAACTTCAAAATTTTTCTTGGTATGAAGGGTGATCCTAGTCTAGGTCATTGAAAAAAAAAACATTTAGGCTCAAAGTTAGATAACAAGGGATAACTTTTTTTTTTTTTTATGGAAAAGCATACCAAAAATGACCTTTTTTTCATCTCAAATATGATCTTGTTTAAGTCAATAAGCTCTAGTTTTATTTGAAAACTATGATTGATTTACGAGAGAAGAAATGATAGACAAGGTGGTATCATGATCCGAATGCATATCACTCATCATCATTTAAGACATCAAGTAAATTTTTTTTTGTATGGATGTATTATCTTAGGCAAGACTATCTTAGAAAGGTTTGTTAGGAATAAGAGACGAATGTTTTTGGGTTTACAAAAAGATATTGCCCCTTAGCATTTGCATGATATGTTTTGAAAGTTATTTAATATTGAAAGATTTTAAATGAGTTTGTTATTTTATTCATTATGATTTGAATGGCTTAAAATGACAATGATTCTTTCCAATAAACAACTCTTGATTTCAAACCGATAATAAAATTATGCCAAGATAATAAGATTTTTTTTCCAAAGAAATGATCCAATCAATGAAAATCATAACACTTTTACAAATAAAATCCAAAAATTCTATATATAAGGTAAGATTTCAGATCACAAAATCAAGACATATGCATGCTTTTTTAACGAGCTTTAGATGTTCTCCTCGTATTCATTCTCATGCACATTATAATCAGAGTTAAACTGACCTTTTTTTTTTTATTTCAATCATTAAGTGTTTTTGTTCTCAAGATATGATCATATTAGGTGTCCTAATGGTAAGGTGAAAATGAGAATAGGGAAAAAAAAAAAAAAAAGAGGCAAAGGTGGTAGTTTAGGAAGAAAATTTATATGATCCCACAAATTAACATCATATGAAAGAATGATACATAAATGCAATAAGAAAATTACTTGGCCTTGAAAAAAAAAGATGCTTATTCATCGGACCGGTCATTCAACTCATTTCCCTAGATGGTCTCATAGACAAGATGATCGATATCAAAGATATCCTTAAGTGTATTGCGTGAAAGCACCACCATTTCCGAATTATTAAGCACTAACCCAGTCCGTATGACTTCATTCTTAGCTAGCTTTCTCTACCCTCAAAATATTCATTATCATAGCATAAGATGGTTGGCTCAAACTCAAGTCTTTGTTGTGCAAATCAGCAATATATGAATATTTCTCCGATTTTTCTCTCTGTCTTTCTTCTCTCGAGGTGCCTAAAACTAACATGGCCTATACCTCTTGATAATGGAATCATCAATATTGCATTCACTCTCTTTATGGAACTTGTAGAAGGACTCATATGAATAAGATCTTGAGAATTGGATAGTTTTTCGTTAATACTAATAACATGTCAAACAAATAGGACATGAAAATTTCAAAAGCTGTTCTTTTTTATTGCACCCAATATATAACACCCCCGACCTAAATAGGCTGAGAGTATCACTAGCATTTACTTACATTTGGAATGCAATGAATACAAGCCAACAAGCCTTCTTCCTTATCATTCTCACATTATTATCAAAGTGGGCATTTTCGTATGAGGTCTCTAATTATTATGATATAATCGGTCCACATTAAATAAAACTTAGGCATAAATTTTTAAAAACAAAATTCTACTAATATAAATTATATTCCTACACTAAGTATAGAAATATTAAATTTCATATTTTAGTCAAAAATCCATGTCCTTAAAATCCAAATTAATCATTAAAATAAAATACCTTATATTAAACTAAGTTGAACCTTGTCTCTTATTTTTCTTAAATTCCATTTAGAAATTCATATAAAAATTACTTTAAGATTATTTCATTTTCAAATATTCCATATAATAAGGTAGGATTATTTGATATTGCTTTTATTTTGAAATAATTCAATTATCATGTATTACATTTAATTAGAAAATAATTAATAAATAGTAACCATTAAATCAAGATTTAATGCCATTATTTTTATAAAAAGTCCATAGGCTATAAATTTATCTCAAAAATTCAATTAAGCATTTAACAAATTCATTTAGACCTTTAACCAATATTTTGGCCATTTAAAACATTTTTTGGACTTTAGGAACTTTGATTCCTAACTTATTTAAAACTAGTTGATTTAATATATTTATTCCTTAACCATTAATCCCCTTTTTAAGTCTTAACCTTACTATCCTTTTGTCATTCCCTTTTAATTCCTTA